ATCCAGCCTATTCATCGACACTCTATCAGCTCTCAGAAATGAGTAATCAGGACGCTACGTACTCGCAGCGCATACACGACTGCCTGAGCTGTGTCTTCTGGGGCTAAATCGTATGTACCTACGAAGAATTGTCATCAACGTGAACGGAAACAATAACGGGGACAAAGCATTGAGTCTCACCAAAACCCAAGATAGGTATTTCATTGCCATCGCGGAGCTACTCTCAAATATGAAGCTGCAACATACCCGCTCACGATTGGTGAATGCTCTCACCTTGATCTTAGTATCCAATGTAAGAGGAGCCATGGCTTAGCTGGCGTTGACAAGCACGTTTGTGTTGAGAATCCCAGTTTTCAAGGGATGAGTAGACCATATGGAACTGTCAGAGATCGCTGATAACGTCAACAAACTGATCATCACGTGGTAACTAATTTCAGTCTGTAATTGTTGTTCGGTCTCACTCTTTGGTCCAAAATGCATATCCAATGGCATATTCATACGATTTTTCAAGACCATACAAAGTTTATCAGCTACTGATAAATAAGGTTATAATAAAAATCTGCAAGAGACAATTGAGTATAATGATCACAACAACCAAAAAACTCGCTGCGCCGACAAAGGGATCAGACATCCAAAGGAAGGTCATTCGAAACCCTCACTACGCCGACCCCCGCTTTCCGTCCAGCGCACCGAAGCCCAAAGGACAACAGCGGCCCACACACGACTGTGCTTTTGGGTTCACACAGTTCGCGGGGGATTATAAACGTTCTGCATTGGGGGAGTACTCCAGCAGGAGGGCGTTAGGGTGGAAACTGCGAATAGACGGAATATTTCATCGTGCAAGGGCGCAGCGAGTATAACTTCACAGATGATAGATAACTCACGTATGGAATCAAACGGAGATATCAGTTTATTCTGACAAGAACGCTGAAAAAGACAAGAGGAATCAGTACATTGATCCGATTGAGTTTCGAAGCAAAAATCAGACAAAATGGCACTGGCAAGTACACTGTGCGATCCGTAGACCGCGTGTTCGTTGCGAACGAACAACTCTATTCCTCGGCATGGTCGTGTAGGACGGGGAAGAGAATAAAGTCATCACTTGGATGAAAATGAGAACAATACTCACTGCAAGCAGAAGGGAGAAAACATTGACCACGACGAGTCTAAATCTGAAAAAAAAACGCATTTTATACCCGCCATCGGAGTTTGGCTGAGTTTGGGAATGGCCTGTGCGCACTGCAGTTAGTCATCCGGCTACTGCCGGGTGAACCACCTCATACATTCAGTTGACCACCGACCTCGACAACTCCGATCCTTTCTCTGCAAAGTTCCAGCGTTTTGGACATGTCTTTAGTAGAAATAGAAATGCCACTTGTCGTGCCTTCAGATCATCTTCGACAAAGAGAAAATCCGGAAATCATTGATGTCGATGCCCTCGACATCGCCGATATCATTCCCACTCGAGCCAGGCCTCCAAGGCAAAGGCGGAGACTAGAGGATGGTCGATCTCTGCCAATAGAAAGAGACACGATATCAATATCTGACAGTGATGATGATCCCGATATTCAATTTATTGGCAGCAGCCAAAGGACTTCACCAAGACCGCGACCTGGTGAGTGCCACCGGTATGATTTATGGCCCCATTGTCTCAACCAACAAATTGGCATCTCAGTTCGCGCAGAGCGCATATTCTCGCCCCCTCCTCCGCCGCAAATGAATGCAATCCCTCCTGTTCCGGAAATACCACATCGATTTGTCCGGATGCGGCGCCACCCTCCTCCCTTTCCCGGTGTCGTACTGCCAGATGATCAGCCCTTTCCGTTCGAGGCAAATATGAGGAGACAAGCCCGGGCACCATCTCTCCCCATACCCCCTCCCGCCGCACCATCCCATCACGTCCCTGCCATGGGATTTGGAGGAGCAATCATTGCATTTGCTAGAGACATAATGGGCGCCCGAAGAAACAATGGCGAAGATGATGTAAATCCTCGGCGTCGCATGCTGAACTTTGAACCGGGCATGTTCGGTCACTGGAATGCATTCGATGTTTTCGGTGACCGCGACGATCATTACCCCAACGACGATGTGTTTCCCTTTTTCGAAGACGATCTAGATGACTTTGCACGTCGAGGTAGAACGCATCTAAATGGCCTCCCGCATCGCGCGGAGCCAGATTATAAACCTGAATACACGCACTCCCACAGACCTGCGTCCGGCTTCACATTTAATTTCGCAGCGTCTTCATCGGACTCCGGTCTGCTTGATTTAAGCGGCAGCAGTTCCAGCACCACCCCACCCCCTGACGCGTCCATGACTCTTGCTTGTGCACGGTGTCGTGACCCATTGATTTTGGGAGCTAGTGATGTAGCCGAGGGGCGGAACATGAGAAAACTATGGGGTCTTCGATGCGGGCACCTGCTTGATGGCAAGTGCATAGAGGAGATAATGAAACCGCGATCACTCCTGGAAAGACTAAACGACCCGCCCAAAGTCGACGTCAAAGGCAAAGGCAAAATGAAGGCTCAAGATGTTCCGAGAGATGAACAGGTGACAACGTCGGATAGCGCCCACATTGAAGCAAGTTCCCCGTCGGCAATGAACCCAAACGACAATTCTGTGCGATCACGCCTGCGCCCTCGACATCCACTATCCCCTGCATCTCATACACAGATGGGAGCATCATCACGTCCATTCCAACGGCGCCCCATGCCAATTCCTATGCGCTCGACACGGCCAACTGCAAAAGGCAAATCAAAAGCTAAAGGGCCTATCATTGAAGCCGAACATGAATGGAAATGCCCAGTCAGCGGGTGTGAACGTTTGCATTCGAGTGTATTCGTTGAAGGCCGCTGGATCATGGACACCAAGAATGGAGCGATTGCAGTTTTCGTTTGATCTTCAAAACGTCGGGTAATCTGGCTCACAGCTATTCTTTAGAGTTGAAAAGAGGATGTCGCTGACCATGGCATATTTTTTCCTCATTCTTGATCATGACGGAACTTCACATCACTGTAATCTGCATTATTCCTGTACAATGTTGCAACATCTCATATCATCAGTGTCATCGCTTGCATTCTCCTTTCTTCCCCCTCGCCACGCGGGCCGGCGTGAGGTCAATCACAACAAGATTGATTCGTATATGCTGTCGCAAGTGGATGCTTATATGATAAGTAACTGGCCGGAGTTGCTGGGGACTCGACGAAAGTCGACGCGTTGACGATCATGAAGAATCAGTAATATGTACTTGTCCTCGAGCACGGTTCTTCCACCAAGACTCAGACTCGATTCGGAAGAACATGGTAAGAAGATTGTCAATGGTCAGTGGGATGAAAGCTTCCAGGCACCAGCTTTATAACGTTACGGCGCCTGAGTTGACAAAATTGCTGGTGGATGGTGATAGTGCATGGTGCGATCTCTATCTTATTTGTTGCCATGAACTAAAGTAATCGTTACATCTTTTTTGCAGTCAAACACTACCTGGCATCGGTGAAGATTATATCCAACGACTTTAAAGGAGACTAGCCTTCAAACTGTTGAGATGGGACGATTATCTTCCATACCAAGGTCGCACGAATTTGAATCCCCAACAACTTGAACGACGACATACTAATCGGATGGATCTGCCGACGACGTAGAATGTTTGCCAGTATTCCCCCACGAACCAAGTTACCCAGGGCCCCTCGACAACCACGCAATGCCGACAGGAGCCTATGCGTGCAGTTATTTTTTTTATTGGACCAGATCAAGTTCACCATTCACTCTGAGTCACTTGCCAAGGAATCATCTGACCGCCCTCCCCAGGCGTCCTCATATATATCATGATGCGGTCAACTCGGCACCAGAGTGGTAAAGAATGATAAAATCCCTGACATGTGTCCCGAATGTTATCAGTGTTCTAAACAACACCCTGAACGATCGGAACTTCGGAATGCTGCTGCCGTGGCAGGGCATCACAAAATCTATCATCATCCCGTTTTAATTGTTTACCATCTTTTCTCTAGATTTTATCAATGCATCCCAGTAGACAACAGATACCAGCTGCAATTACCTCCAATGGATAGAAAGTTTGAATGTAGAATCATTTTGCTGATATCCCTGACGAAGATACTACCATTTCCTTCGACCTCTCTACCAGTCTGCATCACGGCATCGATCATTATATTCCAAACCGCCCATTGACATCGGATATCGAGCACCTTGGGGTGGTGGTTTTGGAAAATAGAGTGGTCAGCCTATCATCGTCATTGGTGGCAGCAGCTCTGTCGAACAGTGGTTCGTTCCTTCAATTTTTGTCTGATGTCAATCTCATAATTATCTTCGGCGATCCAGATTGCGAAACTGTCTGGCTTCTCTCCAATCACCACTACTGCATCATTGCATAACAGTGCATTACTGAAATCTCATGGTGCAACACACGTGCTCGATCGCAATCTACTATTTACAACCATTTCGGACGAGATCTCGAAGATAGCTCCTTCCCCAATTAATCTCGTTTTTATCGCTGTCTCATTACCAAACATGAGGCTATGGCATAGTTATCGTATCGACCTCCTCTATTAAGCCTCGAGAAGGGGATGGAAAGAAGATCGTGGGCGTGTTAGCAAATATGCACACTCCTCACAATATTGCATTTCGGAGTACTGCAGTGCCTGAAGTAACAAAATCGCTTGCAAACGGAGACGTCGTGGTGCGTTCTTCGACATTACAATTCGATGTGAAGTGTTAAGTTCTTACTTACAAATACAGCCCACTGACGTGGAACTTGTGCCGGATGGACTGAACGGCATTGTGTCTGGACTAGATACGCTCCCGTTTGAGAAGACTCAGGTACTGTAGCTGTTCCATGTATGTTGAAACGCGTATCACCACTGCACCAGAATTCGAAACACACTCGATCATGTTTTTTGTGGCATCAAATTGACCCTTTGGTTTTAAGTGATCTCGCTGTGTAAAGCAAAAAGCAGTAGTAGGTCAATACAACGAATTGCGGGAAAAACTGAACCCGACCCGGATTGAACGGATGACCTTATGGATTTTCATTTTCAAGTCGCAGAGGACACTGCTGGAATCATACGCGCTACCACTGCGCCACGGGTTCTCAAACGGTGGAGTTTTGCTTGGGCGCTACCAAGGCGCTGCAGTGTTTATGTAGATCATTCTTGTATTACTGTAACGGGCAATCTCTGTGGCATTTGTTATTCACATAAACAAGGTCTGCATACCTGTTCTTTCCTAGGCCATTCCCTTATCGTGGTGCTCAAGTGATGGCTTGTAAAAAAAAAATCACGCTACACTTGTAATATGTAGGAGAATTAATTCTAGTCCTTGGTAGATCAGCCTCTTATAGAAGAAAGAAATTCATTTATTCGTATATGAATTCAGTTCTGCCTTCAACGAGATTAATAAAAATGTGAACCCGACCCGGATTGAACGGATGACCTTATGGATTCTCGCATATAGCTGGAATCATACGCGCTACCACTGCGCCACGGGTTCATAGTGATATCACCAGTTTAATTAGACTATTACCTATGCTGTGTGAGAACTACCACGCGGTAGTGAATGTCTTCTTCCGAAACCGATTTTTTTTGTCCGCATCACTGGATCGCATTATCAAATGTATTCGCGATCGACATCTTGTGCCCTTTCATCCAATGGGGCCGTTCCAATCATTTTACGAAATATGCAACCAATATAGCCCATATGGAGGCTCAGTCATGGTAGCCCCATTCTCGACCAATTGCATGCTGGCGCACACTCTACTTCCCCTGAACCAACATTTCTAACCATGCATGCTCGGGCTTCCGGGCCCGGGGATTCTACCCCGACTTCCAAACGAAGAGGACCTGAGCCCATTCCTGTGTAGATGGTGATTTGGAACATATGTCTTGCTCTCATTATCGAGAAATACCATGAGGTGAGTTGCGTTTGATGTGTATACCTCTCGACACTCCATCACCGATAAGTGGTCATTGTCCATGTTTTAAGTCTGAATCAGCTTCGCTTAACCGAACCGAATCTGCAATCTCTTCGAGGAACAGTTCAAAAAAAAACAAGACCATATGTAACTTCGTGCACGATATGGTCTCCCGATGCGTAGGTGGCATCGAAGTTTGAATTGATCGAGATCATTTGATCTAAATATTCATCCTCTAGCTACTCACGTATCCCATGCGGTCCCCTTAAACCTGATGTTATAATTTATTTCTGAGCCCATAATCCACATCGATCCGATCACTGTCACCTTAGGTAAGTCCTGGCAAGTTGAAGTCTGACCATGTGCCATTGACTTTTGGCAGAACTGCAGTTGTATGGTTTTATTTTCATCGAAACCCATCAATATATAATCAATGCCCATTTCTCACCGCAACTTCATCTTAGCTAAAATTGATCAGAGGCCACATTCTACGATCGGGATCCACGACAATATTACATTCTTTTTGCTTGCATGCACTCGTATGTATTTGTTGCAAATCAGAGAAGATTATGTCCAAGATACATTGCAGATGCGTCGACGGTGATTCCTCTGGACCACATCGTGAAGTACGTATACTATCCGTGATCAATGTTCAACGTTGCATTGATGCCAGATAAGTAGTAGTTGCCCATGTGGGCCTGCCCCACTTAAATGAACGTTTATAGTTCTCATCCAGGGCATATTATGAAGTGAGTATATCATGATCATATACACCATGCTGTCTGGTCGATGGTCATTGGTCCGGTCAAGTTTGAATATTGAATTGTGAGCCTCCTGTGATCGACGCTAGTACTAATACACTATCACACACCAATTTCACCCAGTGCATGTCGTATGCTTTCGGATTCGTATAAAATGCGTCTTCTCGGCGACACCATGTCTACATAATCACCCGTCGATTGATACAACGTGAGTAGCATTTTTATGCTGCCAACCGGCCGCAACATCTGCTCAGGTCACGAAGCTATGCTGACTATCCCGGACACAGGTTAGCGATTCCTAGAAGCAGACATGCATTTCAACATCCTTGCCGTGGTACTCGCTAGTACTGCACTGGTATCAGCCCATTGGAATCCAGCTTACACGATAAAGCTTTATTCCGAAAATAATGGCAAAGGAAATATGGATTACTATCACAAGAAGTTGACTGGTATAGGGGGACTCAGTGGAGGCCCAACTTATTGTTTGAAGTGCCAAAACCACGGCGGTAACACCGCTGGTAAAGTCCGCTCGTTTAATTTCGCATCACACAACACCAGTCAAGGCACGAATGTTCAACTGCGATTTTATAAAGAGGCGAACTGCGCCAAAATAATTAGTAAGTAACGCCAAAATGCGATATTTCTTACATACTCAAAAATTGGGCGGTCATCCGCTCTATTTTCTCTCAGCTCCATCCCTCTACGGATCGGCATTCATTTTTGATGCTATGCCCTCCGTCCTATCCATTGCGAAATCTCATGAGGTTTGCTTCATAACCTAGTAGAGCGTCGTGGGTTGGCCGTGGGCATGATAATAACCTCACGGTTGAAATGGTTCAAACTGCTGTGTAAGGCGAGAAACAGAATATATGAATCCTTATTCACAAAAAAATTCACCAAAGATCTACAGAATCCGCATGTCCTATTACATGTCATGATCTGTCATGATTGAGTTGCATTGGTGTTGGCCAGGCGTCTTGGGATGCTACAGGCATTGCTTGTTCGTGGTGATGTTTGAATTGGTAGTGTCGCAAGTTGAATGCTGCAAATATGCACAACACGGTCAACACCCACGCAATACGCGATATTGTATCCTTGTCGACTCTGTTATGTTAGCGAGCAGCATTGCAATGATCTCCTCCCCAAACCACATACATATATGATAGGCATACCAAAAAATCCTGACTTAAAGATGACCCAATCAAGAAGTAGAATTGATACACATACTTCGTATAAAAAAGCAGACACGCTGATTTGCAGGTCCAGCTCTTAGTATGGATCTTACGACGTTCAAAATAGATACAGCCTAACAAATAAACTCCATATTCTCAAAAAATGGTCCGAGATGCACCAGTATATAAAGATCTACTTCCGCGAAAAAAACGTAAACCTCCCTTTCGAAGTCCTTGGGCTAGTATCAATGCGCGTCGCTGACGACGCTGGACTAGGACTGCTATCAGCATTGCGTCCTTTACGCATGTAAAACAGGAGTGAATGACGGGGTGATGAGCTATGTGTTTTGGTCACTGTAGGGGTACTAGCACGGGAAGCGGGTGATGAACCTGATTGTTGTTCGAGGACACTGGAACGGTATCCGGGAGACGAAGGAGGGGTTGAAAGGTCGATGTGGGACAAAGGAGGCGATACTTCAAAGGGAGGGAGCGCGAACGAAGTATATGGGCCGGAGTAGGATTCCTCCGATGGTTCTGCAATTGTTGGAAGGGCGCTCGATGATCCCTCTTTCCACTTTGATGACACATCTCTCTCTGGCAAAGAGATGTCATCATGAATAAGATCAAAATCTCCCATCAAGTTGACCGCATAAGCTGGGATAGATATGTCGTCATCAGGGAGATTGGCCAAGATCTCAGCACGAGAGCGAGGCTGTGCTCGCTCGTAGATCGTTACAACGCCGCCTCTATCGTCCACTGCTTTATCTCCTACTGCAAACGCTTCTGCTGAAGAACCTCCCGACGAAACTGATAATGGTGGCGTGGAAGGTCGAGTAGAAGGAACATCATCAGAGCCATGATTAGACCGTGTCGCAGTCGAAGACCGGCGCGAGTGGTGGGCTGAGGCACGGCGATCCGAACAGGATCGTGTGCCATTCTCTGCAACCATTGTGAGTGGAGACCGAAGAGCACGTCCATTGATAGTGGCATTCCGCGGTTTGCTGGGGCGAGAGGCAGAAGGGGACCGCTCACCATCCATGGACGTCCTACGACTATGAACGCTCGTAAATCGCCGCATATTAGACGCTACCGTTGATGGTTTGAGGCGAATGGGCGAAACGTCGCTGATGGTCATGCGACGTGAGAAAGGAGCGTAGTCAGGGAGAAGTGCGGGCTTATGACCGATGCTGAACGATGTCCTCGTGGGGGAGTATTGAAAGAAACGTGCCAGATTAGCACGCCGCTTTGCCTCATTGTCGAAAGGAGTCGAAGAAATGATATTCTCGGCATTCTGGCTCCTATCACCATTCATTTTCAGCGTCACCAAATGCTGAGTCAGCTCTTTCACTTTGCCGTCCACCACGGAGTGGCGCTTCTCAACCATCCATCGCTCTTGCTGCAGGGCACTATAGCTGGCAGGATCAATTTCCCTATCTACAAGGCAAAGTCTGAGTTTAGCAGCGCGGTCGCGCGAATCGTGTGCGTGGGCACTCAGCAACGCTGTGGCTTGCTCCAGGGCATGAATTTGCAATTCTTGCGGCGAACGCTCTGTGTTACGAGGGTGGAAGGCTTCCGTGAGTGCTTGTTCAGCTCTTGAGTAACGGCGTTCTCTTCGAGCAACATCTCTCGAAGATCCGCGGGCGGGAGATGGAAGAATCGAGGTGGGATTAGGCCGGCCAAATGTATGGCTAGTGTTAGGTGTACTGCGGATTAAGTGTTTGCATGTATTCGCGGGCAAAAGATATTGCGGCATGAGAAGACGCACTATGATAGATTTGGAGTAAGAAAGTCCTTCGAGGGTTGAGCCATATTGGTACGCTCCTAGAAAGCTGTGAGGTGAGTAAGAGGATCGCAAGCACAAGACCTGGTCACGCACGCCTAAGGTCACCTTCATGTCCGGAATACTGCTTGTGTCGATTCTCAGAGTGGGAGGTTTTGCCCCGTGGTATCTAGGCGGTGCGGGCGCATCAAGATGCTCGTCAATTCGATCGAGTATCTTCTGACCGATCATGGACAAAAATATAAATCGATAGCCCAGAAATAAGTCGAGAGAAAGGACAGTATTTCGAGTTGGCCTATAGATAGGGTTATGGGCAAGTGTAAGGATTAGGTTGTCTGTACTTATGTAGTATGTAGGAAGTAGAGAGCTGTAAAGACCCACGCTCACTTGAAACTCTCGGAAGCCAAGGTCACACAGCGGAGTTGGAACTTGAGAAAGTTGAAAGGCGGTTTCACTGAAATCACGTTC